GCTGACCGTCTTCAGTCTCATGCTCTCTGTCATGCTGATGAACGCCTGGCTTGACGAACGCCCTGGGATCCGCATCGCCTACAGGACGGACAGCCACTTCCTCAACCACCGAAGGATGCACTTCCAGTTGCGTGTATCACCAAGACCGTCCATGAACTTCTCCTCATCGACGACGGTGCCCTCAACGCCATCTCGGAAGGGGAGATGCACAGGAGCATGGATCTCTTCGCCGCCGCCTGCGAGAACTTCGGTCTGATCATAACACGGAGAAGACGATATTCAGGCCCCCACCGCCACCCAGCACAGCCCCTCACCACAATGCGCCGCAAATCAGCGTGAACGGAACCCAACTGCAAGTGGTGGACAACTTCACGCATCTGGACAGCACCCCCTCTCACAACACCAAAACTGACGATGAATTGAGTCGCAGGATCTCCAAAGCCCCTTCAGGCCTTCGGCCGTCTCTAAAGCAGGGTCTGGAATCACCACAGTCTCCAACTTAGCACCAAACCGCGGACGTAAAGGGCCGTCGTCATCCCGACGTTGCTGTATGGAGCAGAGACTTGGAAGTTGTACACGAAGCGGGCACGCTGACTTACCCACTCCCACCCCAGCTGTCTTCGACGGATACTGAAGCTGAGATAACAGCGCCAGATCCCGGACACCGATGTACTGGAGCGGACAGGAATCCTCAGCTTTTACGCCATGCTGAGACAGCTGCAACTGTGCTCGAGCGGCCACTTCGTGCGGATGGACGACGAGCAGCTACCCAAACAACTCGATATAAGTACACTCTTAAGACTTCCCTGAAGCGTCTGCGGATCAACCTGGCCAAATGAAAAGACATCGCTCGAGACCGACAGACTGACCTAGAAGAGGACAGGGAAGACGTGCACAGCGACCTGTGAAGCCAACCGCATCACTGCCGCTTAAGCAAAACACTAGGCTCACAAATCTCAACTGCGCCCACCGCGCAACGCCGACGTTCAACCAGTCCCGACCTGCCCACGTTTCCAGTGGCGGTTCAGGGCACCAATCGGCCTTGTAGGACATCTTACCCACTGCAGCACCCGGAAAACACCAGGTGTCGTCTCCTCGACAAGTTCTGCCTCATCCTCCAGGCCGACGGCTAACGCTAACCTCATTCCTGAACTCCCATCATCATCATCATCATCATCATCATCATCATCATCATCATCATCATCATCATCATCATCATCATCATCATCATCATCATCATCATCATCATCAGCAGCAGCAGCAGCAGCAGCAGCAGCAGCAGCAGCAGTAGCAGCATCATCTTCATCATCATCATCATCATCATCATCATCATCATCATCATCATCATCATCTTCTTCTTCTTCTTCTTCTTCTTCTTCTTCTTCCTCCTTACCATCCTTCTCCTTCTTCTTCTTCTTCTTCTTCTTCTTCTTCTTCTTCTTCTCCTCCTCCTCTTCCTCCCTTGTTTCAGCATCAGCCACGGCGACTTGTGCACCCGCCACTGCGCACAATCCTGAAACACCAACAATCATCAACCCCCAACCGGCAACCCATTCGATATGGACTCGATCCATATCTGTCCTCATTGCGACCGCGCCTTCACCCCACACACATCGGGCTGGTCGGTCACTTGCACAGAGACTGGCGAACCAGTGCTTGCAGCACCCACATATACTCGCCACATCCGCCTCAACTGCCCTAACTGCACCGGCACATTCGCACACCGCATGAGCGTATTAGGCCACATACGCATCCACGAAAACCTGCAGTAGACAACTTACCGCTAAGCCACACCAGCACTCCTTCCGCCATTTGCATCCACTACAAGCATCCAATCGTCACTCCCCACGCAAGTGTGTGTCTCGGCTCCGTCTCCATGTGATCCCTTTGCTGCTTGTGTGATTCACGTCCAAGACTCTCCCGGTGCGTCAAGCGCAGTGACTCGGAAGGCTGCTGACTGACGCCCCAACACAGTTCACGCAGTCTGCCCAGTTGTGTGTGTGTGTGTGTGTG